TCAAAAAGGAAGGTAAACGCCGAACGGATAAAGAAGGGTGCAGCTGTTCCGCTGTTTAAATAGGCGTGCAGCTAAATGCACGCTGTGTACCTACGACTTATATGTAGTATTGGACGTTATTCCTGCGACCGTTGTTTCACTGTTCGCCGTGGATTTTTTGCCCTTTGACCTTGTGGTCATTATTTTCTCTAGCTGATGCACAATTATACGTTCGGTTGCCAGCTTTAGACGATAACTATTATTCGGATACATTCTCTAGAATAACAATATTATTTATAGGACTATGTCATTTTCATGTGGTGCTGTTAGATATTCATTGAATTTTCCATGGAACGTTACCCAGCAATGATTGAGGGCTTCCCGAAATCTTAAAAGTTGCTATATGCTTGGTTCGGGATCCCGTGAGGGACTGTCTCCCATACCCTCACCCCGCTTGACTGCGATTCTTGGGGTAATTTGGAATTTTTTCTATGGAACTGGTCGGAAGATGTTAAGCGGAAGGAAGGGGGAGGAGAGGTAGCACAGGAGAGAAAATTCAGAAGGCCTATTTTGTAAGAATTTCACTCATCGGCAGGACATGCGCTGACTATCATACGCGTGATCTCGGGATACTTGTTGACCGTGAAGACTTCCCCACCTTTTTTCTTTCTCTTTCCTTCTCTCGCTTCCTCCTTCTCTCTTCCGGTTTTCATACTTTCGTCCCTTCAAATGCTTGGCGAGAAGATTCGATAAGAGAATACTTCTGGACGAAGGGAAGCGAAAGAGTCCGCATCCTCTTCCCGAGACATGACTTGTTCTATGACTTAGTGAATGTCGTAACATCTCTCGCAAACAACAATGACGTGGTTTTGCGCGCCAGAACATGACTTGGCTAGGGCTCGCTACGGTATGGCCCTCTCTCCTAGCGCCTCTTGCGACCTTGGTAAGGACCGGCGTTGCACACTGGCAATTCAATGGCATTAAGCCGTGTAAGCCACAGCGGTGAGAGGGGTCACCCTCCCCTGTGACCTCTCTCCTCTCTGTCTGTCTCTCTCTCTCTCTCTCCTTCCTCCCGCTAAAGAAACCTCAACAGTGGGGAGGTCCTCTTTTCTATACCTATCCTTGCTAAGAATTCCTGGGAATGACCGCGCGCTTAGGTGGGAGTTTACTCCTTGCTCGACGGGTGCAACTTTCTTGCGAGCATCTTTGTTTGGAGAGGTGTTGTACTTGCAATCGCTTTGTTATCGCTTTTATTGGTGATTCATATTGTTTCTTCGGCGCTCATCGTAATAGAACGTACATATTTCAGGTCGCTATGACTAATGGTGGAGTTACTATTCATCGATTCGACACTGCCGAGCCATATAATTGCTCGAATGGTATCAAATGGATAGAGCGGGTGTGTTCTGTTGATCCTTTTTTGAGTTTTCATCCGTTAACGTGATTGGGGAGGAGAAGGCGCGTGGCATCGCATCTGAGTCTCTTTCCTCACCGAGGGTCAGGCCCTGCAGAGCCCAGACGGCCGGAGTCGGCGAGACACGCAGAGCAGACATTGTCGCGCTGCCACGTGCTCTTCGAGCTATTGTAGCACACTAGTTTTTGAACGTTTACCTGAATTCACCGTTTTAGATATTCTCGGATTGTGTAGATACAGAATTAAAGCTACTTGGCTTCATAATTGGAATTATATCTTTGCTATTATGGCTAGTTCCTTTGTTTCCGCAACTTCTTCAAAACTACAAAACGAAGAAATGTGACGGTCTTTCTCTAGTGTTTTTATTCTTTTGGTATGTTTTCCAGTCTTTTGGTAGTGTTCATACTTTGCGTCAGCGTTTGGAGCGTACGACGCGCGTTGAGCGTTTTCGCGGGTTCGAGCTTTTCGCAGGCAGTCACTCAAAACGCCGGTGTACGCTAGATCGATAACACTTTCTCAGTCTCTTAAAAACGCTCAAACGCTTTCGCTAAGTATGAACGCAGCCTGACTTCTGCTGTTTTGGGCATTTATTTGATCCAATTTCAGGCTTGCCGGAGACACTTGTAACATGTTAGGCGCCATTTTAACTAACCAAACACCTATTCAAAAGATTATTGGTGTCTATTATATTTTTCAAGATTTAACATTATGGGCACAGTATGGATACTATACGAAGATATATCCTACCCTTGGAAGCCAACGAAGTGGGTCGTTTCGGATTCTTGCTGCAACAGTATGTCTGCGTCTCAGGAAACTTCAACCATGGAACTTAGCTAAGACTGCGTTTATACTTGGCGACAATGTCCACCAGCGTCGCGAGGGACTAGGGAAGTGTAGGTATTGATCCGCGAGCGCTAGCGCACACCAGCATTTTCGGACAGTTTCCTCAAGTCGAAAATTGCCTGCGAAACCTGCTGTACGCTGATGGACGCTGGCGTTCTCAGATTGATACCTATACTTCTCTAGTCCCTCGAGACCTTCGGTGGCCACTGGTGGAGGCTGTCGCAAAATAGAACGCAGCCTTATGCTTCCTTTATTCCTTAATTCCCCTCGTTTCTTTTTTGTTCCCTCTCTATTTCTCTATTTTGTTCCTTCTCTCTTCCTCTAACCTCTTGAAAGACTCAGCCACAGATGCGTAGAGAAAATTCATAGGACACTAACAGCGAGAGAGTTTTCTGGCTCTAACGCAATTGGGGTGGAGAGCATTTGTCCAGACATTTCGGCCCTTCTCGTGACCAAAACCTAGGCTTGAAGCGCAGACGGCCGCAGTTGCCAAGGAATAATTTCCAAAGAGGGACGTCGTACATTAGGGATCCCCGTTGAGGCGGATCGTGTTTGGTCGGTGGAGGGAGGGTATCGTATTTTCCTTTGAGAAAATTGCTTTCGCTTAATGACTTTTCTCAGTTTTTTTCCTGTTTCAAATGCGCTGTATAACCCTCCTCCCCTTACTCGGTAGCTTTTTTTCTGGGGAAAGGGGGAGTTCTTCGGGAAATAATCCGAGGAAGCGAGAGAAATTCGAGAGAATTTAGGATAGTGGTAGGTAGAAGTGGTAGATGGGAATCGTATGAGAGAGGGAAATTTCAAGGAGGGAGGTCGTATTCTGCTGAATTTCTCCCCAACGGTAGGACGTGCACTTGTTCCACCAAGCCCAAGCCTTGAGTCGGGTTGGGAGTACAAGAGCTCTAGAGTGTGCCCCGCTAACACGCTGACATATCCTCGCTAAACGCATTGTCTGTATGTGTACCTTCTAAGCGAACCTAAGGTCACATGATCAGTCAAAAACGAGTTATAGTGTAGTTCGCTGCGGACGGTTGGGCGTGTCAGGCGGGATGAGTTTGGCGCGGTGCCAAACCCGTTCTACCAGTTGTTAAAGCGAGCAAGTGATATGACTGTATCATATCGTTCGTATTACTCGTTTTCTACCACTTTTTGTCGCATGCGCGCTTCAACAAGAAGGCAGTGAACGGCTTTGACGGCGTGAACACTCATACTGCCTGACACGCCCAACCGTCCGCAGCGAACTAGAGTATAGCTCAACTGGTGGCAAATGAGATCCGCTCTTATAATGGAGCAGTTTTGCTGTACATAGAAGAACCTTTACTTCTCACCTGGTTGTACTTACTAGTAAATTGTGCCACTTTCGAATAGGTACTTTTAGGTTCCACCATTGTTGTACCGTGCTTAGCCCTGACGTCATTTGGATCTCTTTGTGTGCTTTCCAGTGACAGACGAACACGCGCTGTACGATCAGCACCTGGTGCAGGCTTAGTGTTAGTGAAATTTGCGGAATTTCAATTAGTTTCGCGTGATGGCTTACATTTTTTCAGGGAAAATCTCTCCTTAGACCATATGTTGAAGATGTGGCCTATATTCGAAAGTTATTCTGATATGGTACGCCGTTGTTAGTTTTTCTATTTCAGGCGCTGTTCGGCTTAAAGGGGACTTTTTGCATTTTCGCCACTTTTGCCAGTTCACTTCAGTTAACAGGTCTCATTTTCGTCAGACCTGTACACTGCTGTGAAGTTGTGAAAATGATCGAGTGAGCTTCTTCGGTTACAGGGATGTACAGGTTCTTCCAAGGTGGTCTGTACAAAGTTCGCTGAGTACCATTTGGTCCCCAAGCCCCCACTAAGCCGAAATGCGCCTTGTTTAGTCTCGTAGATTGAAACATTCCCGAGAAGGCTTGACTGTGGTGCTGCTCACATGGAAATGGACTAGCTCCTAATCGCTCATACAAAGGCTACTTTTTCTTTTGTAATTGCTTCATTTCAGGCCGGCTATATTATTGGATCTATAGCAGCGCTATGTTATTTTGGAGGGCGCATACCTCAGATCATCAAGAACTACCAAAGAAAGAGTTGTGAAGGTCTTTCGCTGTTAATGTTCTACATTATTGTGGCTGCTAATACAACTTATGGAATATCTGTACTCTTGGCGACGACCGATTGGCTGTTTTTCGTGAGGTAAGGCGAGTGGTTACTATACTCGAGAGGACGCAGTTCGGCGAGGGGGGGGGGGGATTTTGCTTTTTGCTACTTCCATCGACATGTCGAGCCATCAAGTGGAGACCTGTGAAATCTTGTGACGTCACGAAAAAGTTGCTCCAGCTTCACAAAAGTGTTTACAGGTTTCACCAGAGTGAGACTTGTGAACCGAAACTGTTATAGTGAAGCAACTAAAGTACAAAATGCTCCCCATCATCGTGGCCAAAGCGCACGCTCGTGAGTGAATTAGCTCCTCTAAACTTTGAAAAGAAGAAGCTGTTTCAAAGCATTTTTGTTTGTAAATCGTGTAAAATCGAGTTCCGCTACTTTTTCCCAGCATTTTTTCCTCGGCTGTTTTTCTTACTTCTATCGCTCTTTCGTGGTGCTAAGAAGTTTTTCGTGAGCACCATACTGATGATTGACGTACCTGTTACGAAGAAACCTTATCATGCGGCTCCTAGCATCCGTGCTACATGCGTGCCGATTGGCTACAATCGCGGAGGGGTGATAAGAGCAGTGCGGGTCCTTGTCGTCACACTTGCTTGGAAACTACGGACCCAAAAAACGTTTGTGATGGTAATGACGAAGGACCAACAATTTCAGCGCCTCGTTAGGGGCACATGAGTATCCAGTTTGTTGGTCAGACATTGAAAAAGAGTAGGTGGTACTGAAATATTCTTCGAGATTCAGTGTGAAGGGATCGTGTTAGGACGCTAAAGGGAACGGGGTTGTATTTGCATTCGTGATTACGTTACTGCTCGGTTTCTTAATTATTCTAGCTTTCTCCCATTTCTCGCTGTATGTCTCATCTTTCAACGGCAGTTTTCGGAGAAAAATGCGAACGGCCAAATTGTAAAATCATGAGGTTTTGTTGGAGATTTGTTGATTACTACAACTACTGGCTCCCGTCCAGGCCATGTAAGCCTACCACCCTCTGGGGACGTTAATTGGCACCAGATTCGTGTGGAAGAATAAGAACGCTGACTAATTCTCGAGCTTCTTATCCCCAACTAGTGATAGAAACAAGCAGCTTGACGATTTCAGGGATTTAGCTTATGACCTGTCGCAATGAGGATGAAAACGTACATTCACGTACTTCCTTCTACTTCGAAACGTAACGAGAGGGCGGTAACTTACCCCATCCATTCCCAGATGGTCAGCCGACATTCCTAGTAGTAGAGCAGTATATAGAATGCCTACGACGGGAAAAATTCACCGTCGAATAGTTTTTGCTGTCCCAAGTACGATTTCCTGCTTCTCCTCCGATAACAACCCCGCCCCGTTGCGAATCGCCACCTATCAAGACTTCTTCGCTGGGGAGCCTCATTCGATTGTTGCAACGGACCTGTATGGTTTCTCGCGAAAGAACTTTTCTAGCCAGCTGCAGACTATTCCGGCTCTCTCCGAACTTTTCTTTGAAATTTTGAAGGGTATGTGGCGCAAGAACTGTGGTTCAGACAACAGATACCATTTGAAG